AAACAGTGAAACCCATTTTTTGTTCAAGTGCGTGATATGTGGGGAGCTAGAGATGAGTACGAGACTCGACTTCCAAATTAACAAAATGGGATATTTCTTCGACTTTTTGTTTGTTTCCTTACATCAAAGCATGTAGAATTTCAGTTAAGCCATATTTAGTTAGAGTTGTGTGGACATTAATTAATAGGATTAGTGTTTCCTGTATTAATACACTTTATTAGTAGTAGTTTGACTTATAACGAAATTGAGTTATAAAAATTTACTAAAAAATACAATCTTTTATAAGAATAAAGTCATAATTTTCAAATTATCCGAAATTATCTATTTTTACTTCTTATGAATTGAAAGTGTATATTAATTAAGGTGATAAAAGCAAGATAAAAGCACAATTGATCCCAGTTAAGTTAAGCAAATTGTATTGCTTTCCTCTGGGGATTTTTGTAGCTCATGCATTTCTGACATCTCTAGTTCCACTATTTATGATATCTGGACGCACTCCATGAGTATCCCCGTCCATCTGGCCGTCACCCACTCCATCTAGCCGACTCGCCCGTGCTTTATCATTCACATGTCTGTCTGGCGGCTTATGTTTTGTGTTAATGAACAAGTCTAGGGCTGCAAACGGAGCTGTCTAGCATCTGTCTGATGGTCCAACTCCGGGCTACGGACAACGGACTCCGGTTCGGCAGGGTCGTGTCTATTACGTACTAAATTATTGTGTGTCCATGTCCGGCCTGCCCATCTCTTTCGCCCCACATACGTATATCCCACTCCCTTCGGCTGGCTGTCAATTTGAGGATTCGGACGGAAAGACGGACGGACGGACAAACGGACAGACGAACGGACGGACAGTCGTAGGCGACTTTTGACAGTCGTTGGATCTGTTTGTCTGGTTGCCAAAAGTACGTGAGTGGTTCGTTTTAATTACGAATGACGGCGTACGAATTGAGTGTTGTCTTCTGAATTTTTAAAGCCCTCCAGAGTCAAAAGTTGAAGGGAAATTGCTTACTGCGAATGCTTGCCTCTAAATGCAGTCATAAATCTGTTTGCTTATCTGCTCAACGTCAGTTCACTAACGACCGAGCTCTCAATGGAGGCACTTTAAAGTTCACTTAAAATAGGGATTATATTTTATATTTATTTAAACAAATTTAGTAATATTCTCACCAATTTTTCAAAATGTCATGCACAAAAAAAGGATATTGCTGTTAGCTGGTATGTTATGATTATGACTTGCTAACGAAATTAAAGCCATTTAAGAAATAAAACTTGTAAGTAAATGGTTTTCTTTTGAAGGAATGCATTGTAATACAAAATTCTAAATATACGATAATATCTCTCTTAAATTTAATGATTATATATGGCTTTCAAAATTTGACATCCTTTTGTTGTCACGCCAAAAATGAGAAAAGGATTTGAAATTTAATGAACTTTTGTGCGACCTTTATGTTTTTTTTTTACACACGCTTGGCTGCACATAAAAGAGCCGCAAAAAAAGAAGAAAAGAAAATTTGCGTGGCTCATTTGCGGGAGACATTCTGCAAGGGCAATATATACATGTATATGTAAAAATAAATTTTCTTATGTTTATTTTGATGTGTGGCGGCAAAAGGGCGTGAAATACGGCCAAAAAGGGAGACCAATAAGGAGATAAAGGAGCAAAGGAGGAGAGGAAGAGAAGAGCACTTTGCATAAAGTGTCATGCGTGAGCCGAAAAGGATCCGGCAAAGGTTTTATGTCAAATTGAAAGACAGGCCCAAAAAGCTCGGCTCGATTTCAATGCCAAAAAGCAACTAAAACCTGTGACACTCCCACACACACAGACACAAAGTTACGCCCACGCACACACACGCACTCGCACACGCATTTTGCATAAATTATGCGGTTGTCTGTGGGGGTGGGCAGAGCTCAAAATGCATGACCCGTTGCCGTTTTTGCACTCAGGAAAATAATCAAGACAAAATATGACTTATCAGATATGCAAATCAACTTTTAATTCTTCAAAAAAAATTTAAAGATATTGGTGTGCGCTATAAAAATTATATGAAATAATCTGTTGAGAATTATAATGTTCGGTAAAAGCTCTTTTTAATATAAATAAAAGATATGTAAAGAAATATTTTTTTAAGTTTTGAGTAAACGCTTAGAAAATATATAGTCCAACAAAAGAAATGACTGATTAGGTCTTGCACAAAAGAAGAATTTAATAGTGTGTGATGAATCACCAATCTATTTTGAAACTTTTCTGCTGACATTTTAAAAAGATAAGCTTTGGTCTGATTTTCGGACTGTGAATATTATGTAACCTTAACTGCAAGTTGGACTTTTCTCTGACTGCATCTCCTCCCGAGTCCCGCATTGGATCGCCATGGCAACAGGAATCGGGCTCTAAATAATTTAGCAACCAGAGCGGACAATAAAATTCGAGCCCAAATGTCATACGCATGCATTTGCATATGATTTAGCCAGGCCGGGAACAGGATCCGTATCCGAATCGGAATCGGAATCAGAATCAGGAGTAGGCGGCAAAATAGCTATCACTAAACGGGCATGCAACTGCAGGGGTAAACACACTCCCCGCCCGAAAAACCCTTCTGTGAAATTGATGCCAGCGGCAAATCATCTTCGTCCCTCTGTGTTTGCCAGTGCTGTGTGCAAGGATACATTTATAGCATAATTTGTAAATGTTCACTAGATATACAAACACACTCGAACATGGGCTCAAAGTGCGTTCTATGCAAATGTGCGTGTGTGCAATTTGTATGGAAAATTGCATTGGCAACTTTCGGGCTGCGGCTGCTCGTGTGTAATTTGTTTAGAAATTATATTTGATGATTTGCAAATTTGCTCACATTGCTGGTTAGCTGGAATCGGAATAGGGATCGCAATCGGTTGGAGTCCTTCCATTGTCCTGCCACTTTAACCTGCAGGAGTGTTCATTAGCCCGGCCGGCAGATGGCGCCATTCAGCAGAAGCAGACAACAGCAGCCAAAAGGCAAATTGCTGGGAAATGGTGAAATATAATGCAATTATACCGCCTGTGTTTGTGCGTGTGTATTTACGCTTGCGGTCGTGTTGATCCCTTTAAACAATAAACTATTTACGCACACACTCACGAACTGGCAGCCATGGAAACTGTGCCGTCTGTGAGTAAGAACGATTTATATTAATTGTTAAATTGATATCCGGACTAAAAGCGATTATATGTGTTGTCAATAAATTGTTCAATTAAAGTTTTATCTTTAAAGCTTCATCTTTTATGGGGTTAATTAGAAAACATTTGAACATTAGACTGCGCTTGTCGTTCAACATAATATTTAAACAAATTAATCTCAAGCACACAAATACGCTGATTTTGACAGGAAAACGAAACAAACAAAAATTTAATACAAATTTATTTCCAAAAGTAATTATAAAAGGTCATCTAAATAAATCGAGATATATAATTGGCAACACTTTAAATCTGAAAAAATTTATTTATTACAAAAAGATTGTGGCTTTCGATCTACAATTTTATTATTTTGGTTTCCAAATAAATAATCTGTTTGGTGCCTCGACTAATTACCATATAAAAGCACTCTTATCTCATATTCACTATCTCTACTTTTGCTAATATGCTCTTAATTTGAGTTTATAAACTATAGTTTTGTTCAGAGTCAACAAAGCGTCTAATGAACAATAGCTTAACAATATGCCTTGCACTTACATTCAATATTCTAAGTAGAACATTCATGCACTAATTGAGAAGGTTTAATTGCTGCTAAGGTAAAATACGTTTTGTAATTGGTACAGAAATGGTTAGTCAAAATAGGTAAAATAAATGCGATGCCTGTTAATTTTTCCTGACGAATTTTTTAGTGAGTGTTGTCTTAAATGTTCAAGGATTATCCAATCTTTTACATTTATAAGCAGGAATTTAGCGAGCTTAGATTAAATTACTCGCGATGGAACCATCATTGTTGCATCCGGTAAGGTAACTAAATTACAAATATTTTCAATCAAAGTCATAAATTGATTGAAACGTTTCTTGCTCTTTATTTCTGTAACTGACATTTTATCAAAGTGTGCCATCTTCAAAAGAATTTGATACATTCTCATTTATAATTAAACAAAATTCAGCATCATAATATAAATCCACTCATTTGGAATAAATATAAATAAATGCAAAATCAAAGAGAAATGTCTGGCTCTTTTTCTCAACCACCTTTGTGTTCTAACACCCAGCTGAATTCCTTACCTACACTATGTATCCTAATTTATTCCCTCAAAGGACTTCAGCACATACCAAAAGGATCGATGTATTAACATAGAACACGCATATATAGAGGATGTCAGGTCAGAAATGTGTAGACATTCGGGATGCTTTGATGGGATGAAACCCCCACTTTTGCTCCTAATTTCACCGGCATACGATGATACGAAAAATTCCAGTCTGTCTGCATATTTGATACTTTGATCAATTGAGACGGGGGGGCGGATGAGAGGGGAGGGAGCTGTTTTGGACAAACAAGAAAAGTGTAAGCGACGATGCCAATCAGTCGGTCCACACAGCAGCCACCTCATCATCCGATATCCTGTCCTTCGGCAATGCTAATGTCCAGCACATAAGCGTTATTATGTGGAGGTGACCATCTCCTCGTTCCCTTCCAGAATCTCATCTCCAGTTTCGCATGCAGTAATCTAATCATCATCGGGAGCATCATCCGCATACACACACATCCTCATGTCCAGTGCAACATATTGACCGGCACTTGTTTGCTTTTTTATTATTGCTTTTACTCCTCTTCACCCCCCACTCCCTTACTCCCCTCACCAATCTGTCCAATCTTTGGCTGCTGGTCTACCCATCTGTGGATAAATTTATGCACATTATTTGTCCTGCTTGGCATGTCGCGTTGATTTTTGCGCAATCCTTTTGCACATTTCCAAATGCCATTTGTATGCAAACTAAGTGCGCTTTATGCCTCCACGGTCATGATGCCATCCTCATTCCAATCCTGATGCCCATCCTGGTCATCATCCCAGTCTTCATCATCATGATGATGATGATTTCGGACTTCAGCTGCCAAAGCAAGACATCAAAATGCAACAGGGAAGGAGTGAGAGTGTAAGGGAAATTGGTTAGAATGAAATGAGGTGGTGTGGTCTGGCTGGCGGGAAGGATTTGTGGATTTATGGCAATTCAGGATTTATCTCTATGTAGGAATCTGTACTCATGTGGGTGTCATGGGTGTCCACCAAAAGAAATATGAGACGGCAATGCGACATTTTTAAATACCACTTTTTTTTGGAAAATAAGTTTAACTTCATCCCATAAATACCTTTTGATTTGTTACTTACCTTAAAACCTTTTATAATATTTTAAACATATATAACAAAGTTCACAGATAAAACTTTGAATTGAATGTAATTTATTTTTGCAATTTAAAAACGTTTATTTATCGATTAAGCAACATGGACAATAAAATGCTTTTAATAAATTCGCATTCGATCGCAGTCAGTTATAACAATGGGAAATGTGTGGTTTGTGCTACTCGGCATTTCTTTCATTTGGCAATTGGTAAGATTTTTCAATGAATTTTAACTTGGAGGAACATAAAAAAATGTTTTTGTTTGGCTGCTAGACTGAGGCCGAGTTAAATTACAAGCTTAAGAAAGTCGAGTGCGATGGAGATCCGGTGCGAGTGAAAAACATTTCATGCTACGTTAAGCCGATCAATTGGAGTACGGGTTTGGTGACCATGGATTCATATTTGACTGTGCCTATGCTAAACCCATATGTAAGTTTTTGCTTGAATTCTTAATACTATCTGATATGCTCTTCTTTATTTTCCAGATTCGACTGCAGGTTTTGAAGAAGGACTACAGCAATCAGTGGAAGCCATTCCTAATTGATGCGTCCTTCACCATTTGCGAGGGGAAAAAGAACTTTTATCCCTATGGCGTCATATTTTGGAAGCTGGTTAAGAGTTTTACCAATGCCAATCATTCCTGCCCCTTTTCGGTATTTCTACAGCTGGGATCTTTATTTGAGTGATTACTGTTTATTTTTTCTTTTTTAGGGACACAAATTCGCACGAGGAGGATATCTGGATTCTAGTCTATTTCCTCCGTTTCCTCAAGGCTTCTACCAAGTCAGTTTGACATTCACCGATGTTAATTCTACCCACAGCGAATTTGTAGGCACTGCGAAATTTTACATGGAAGCCATGGAACAGATAAAAAGAAAAACGAAACCTGGTGTCTAAACCCGGAAATATATTTTCACTATTTCTGCTTGTTTTAAGGTTATCAGTTTTGTAAGGTTATCAAAAGAAAAGAGCTATATCATCGATCAGGTTCAGGGAATAAGGTTTTTGATTTTGGCTTGGATCTATTTTCGTTGCTCGTTTTACAATTCTTTTTAGTTGATCTTAAATTTGTGTAACTAAAAACCATTAAATTGATATTAATTTTACAGCACGCTTTATTGATAACAGTTAGTTTTCTGATTTTATGTATTTTGTGTTTTTCAAGTTCAATGGCTCATATAATTGTAATTCACTTTACCACATTAGTTTCAGTCGAACGATCATCGTAGTTGCGTTAATTTCTACCATGGATGGCTGATCTTTTAATGTTAAGCTTATTGTTTTTTTTATGGCTTTGCTTAAAATAAATGTTTTAAGCATGATAAACAGATATTTCCATAAAAACTGTCTAAAGATCAATTTCTTTTTTTTTTTTATAGATTTTATAACAAAACCTTTGCATTTTCCCACCTGCATTGTACTTTGCTTTGGACCAATATCTCTTATTTCCGGCAGATGCACAGCTTCCCAGCTCATTGCGAATATCTTTTTTTACGCATTTTTAAAAGCGAATTTGCATATTTGATTAATTTGTTTGGCATTTTGAGACCACTTTATATTCATGAATTTGCAAATTAGACGGCGTCGGGGCTGCTCTGGCATAAATGTGTTTTCGCATCGTTAAAAAGTTTTGAGAAGCAGGTATGTCAAACTGTATTAATAGTATGTCTCGGGCAGTTAAAAAAAAAATAAAAACACAAAATGGGGGAAAATTGTGAATGACTTTCAGGCGATAAATGAAGCGAAACTTTTTCGATAATTGTTGGTAATTCTTGTGTGGCTGGGAAACAAGTTTTCGCCATTTTCTTATACACTTTCCCATCTCTGTCTGTCAAATGTGCAACAGCTGCGGGCAAAGTTAAACAAATAATAAAGTTTTTAATTATAAGCAATGGCAGGCAGGGCAGAAAGTTTATTCTCTTGATCGTATCGAAGACTTTTCCAACTTCCCCGCCCTCGAGCAACTTTTCCATGTGTGTGTGTGTGTGTGTGTGTGTGCGGAAAATGGAAGTCAATGAAATTAGTACCAGCAGCACAAAACCATATAGGAACCGGAAGTGTTAGTTCTGTGACATTTGCATGACCCCCGGCTCCACGCCCCCTTTTCACCGCCCTCCGATCACCCGCAGCGAAGTACGCAATAAAAAGTTGGCCAGAAACTTATTGGTTTGCCTGAAATAATCAAGAAGCGGAAACTCAAACAATTTGCGGTGCGACTGAAAGTGCAGCTCAAGGTTTATCCCCAAGATTTCCCCCTTTTTAGCTATTGGTCATTGACTTTGGGGCTTTTCTCTGTGCGTGAGTGGAAAAGTTTTTGGCCCCTCAAAACAATGTTGCGCAATTTCAGGTACGATTTCCATCAATATTCTTGGGCAAATGGAAAAGTTGGTGGATACCTGAAAGCCACTGCACTTTGCTTAATTATCAGTTGTATGTCATGATAACTTTTTTTTTAATAAATAATATGCAAAAATTATTTATTTCGATGCAAGACAATCATTAGAGAAATACAACACTTTACTCTAAGGTGCAACTATTTTAGTCAACTATTATATCTTTTTCGTACGTTAACTTTTTTAATACTTTAGAAAACTAAATTTTTTAAAAAGGTTTTAATGCTTTTATACATGAACGCCCTTTTTTTTGTTACTAAGTCCTTCCTTTATTTAAAATAAAACAAAATAATTTAATTTTTCAGTCAATACCAGTATATTTCAACAGAAAATAAACTAAATTTCGTTTTACATGCTTGCTAGAAAAACAAATTTTTAGTAATTTGAAACATTTTTTCTTAAATTATTTATTGTCCTCCTTTTTCTTCTGTTCGGCAATCTTCTTGATCCATTTGTCCCACATTTTCTTCCACTTCTCCATGGCCTTGGCCTTGCCCTCGTCCTTCAGGGAGCTGTATCGTATGGAGTTCTTGGCGGTTCGCTTGAGGAACTTTAGATCCGCGTTCATGGGTGCGATGCCCAGGAAGGCCATGTAGAAATCGTGAGAGAGAGGAGCCGCCCGCCAGAAAGCCGGATTCCCAGAGGAGATCACCATGGGCACATTTTCGGCGATCAAGGTGGCTGCCGGATGGTTGCGGTAGTCGGAGCCCAGTTGGAGCACCTGATTGGACACTGGACAAACCTCGAGGGCAATGTTCAGGTACTTGGCCAGTCGCATGAGGAGCGGGTGCTTGGTGATCGTGTAGCCATGGCTGATCCTCTTGGTGCCCAGCAGAATGGCATCTATCAGGTTCTGGTCCACATGCGATCCGTACCAGTTGGTCTGGCCGGCGTGGAAGTAGAAGTTGATGTTATCGGGCAGCTTGAGCAGCTCCTCCGCGAATTTACTCAGCGGGTGGCCCACGTCCTCCTGACCCACCAGATCGAAGCCAACCACAAAGCCGGGAAACTCTTTCTGAAAGGGCATTTAATTTCAAAGTTTAATATACTTTTTAATATTTTATTATCTTTTAACAAAATTGTAATAAATTATTAATTGTCCTAAAATTAAGTAATACTGCCTAAACAGAAAAGCCAACCTAAGGCAACAAAAATGCGTAATATATGTGGGCTAGTAGCATCTTGTAGGTCATTATTCCTTAATTGTAGGGCATGTAATAATTTTCTAGATAATTGTATTGCTTGGTTATAGTTTTTGAAAGACGAAAATATGAAAAGTGGTCTAATAAATGGTCTATTTGATGCCTAAATCTAAAATAGTAAATTCAATTATAACTTACATTAAGTTCAGTGCACTCCTTGACATATTGCCCCACCACTTCCGGTTGCACATGCCGAATGGGGGCATAAATCAGCTTGCATCCAATAAATCCCGGATTCTCCTCCCTGAACCGCTCCAGAGTGTCCTTGTAGATTTGCACCGTTTCCCGCTTGGGCAGTCGGCTGCCATCCAGACAGTAGAGCTGCGGGAGAACCGATCTCATCTCCAGGTACTGTACTCCGTCGGCATAGAACTCCTTGAGGCCGTTGTAGAAGTAGTCGCCCCACAGGGGGGCGTACTGTAGCAGTCCGTCCAGCAGGTCGAAGATGCCCATCATGTGGCGCCAGGCGTGGGCATTGGTGGTAAAACTGGCCAGTGGATACATACTAAACCGCACACGTAAATATTTCCTAAGGTTTTCCTCGCCTCGCATTTCACGTAGCTTTTTCATGGGCTGCCACGCGCCGCCCTCGTGATTGACGTCCTTGGGCTTCTCCTTGGCGAATCGGAACTCCTCCACGCGGCAGCCCTCTTGGGTGGTGCAGACCCACAGGTTCTCCCGGTAGGTCATCTCGATCACCGATCTCGAGCTGCACATGGAGGTGTCGTGCACCTTGAGGGCCGCTCCCTTGGGCATTTTGCTCAGCATCTGGAAGAGAGGCGACTTCTTCACCGTGTGCAGCACCTGGAAGATGTGGTGACCCGGTGCGAATTTGGAGGGATCCATGATGCCCTTCTCGTACTCCCGCTTCTTCTCGCACATGATCAGCTCGTTGGCCGAGCGCTCGGCCAAGGTCAATTGAATGTCATTGCCCACTCCGGAGTAGCGCTCAAAGGAATTGACGATCTCGCGCAGGATGCGGTAGTCCTCGGGCGAACTCTGCCGCAGATTGGTGGAGCCCAGCATTTCAAACACCGTCATTTCATTGGGGTGCTGGTGCAGAAAGTGGGCGACTGCGGGCGTGGCACACTTCGGGAGGCGCCACCTTTGACCCAACCGGATCGCCATCTCCTCTGCCTTTTTTATTAATTTAAAAAGAATATTTTACATTTTTTGGAATTTGAAAAGAACGACAGTAAAATCAATAAAAAGATACAAAGAAGTAAGCATGTATTTTTTAAATTAAAAATCTTGAGTTGGGTTTAAAAAAACATTGAATATTTTTTTTAATTTGGAAGGTGTTCTTTTTTGTAAATCATACCCTAAATCACAACTTCTTTATAGATACTACTGAACATAAAAGATTTTTAAAATTGTATTTTATTTATTTTATACTCAATGAAATTTGAAGAAATTAAAAAATTTAGCTTAACATTACTTAGACATAATATTTGTCTATTATTTAACTAAATTTTAGAGATTAATATTTATCTAATTTTAAAACGTTATTTACACAAACGGTAAAATATTATGTTCCTTTTTAAAGCTCTCATAATTTAAAGTCTTTGAACCCGTAAAACTTCCTCACCGTGCTGCTATTTAATTACCATTTTGCTATTAAGATATTAAGTTCCTTTGGAAACTCTTAGAGGCACTGGCCACCGCTGAGTGATCCTTTTAAGCATTTTGCAAGGAGTTTCTTTGAAGGAGCTTACGATTTGCATTCCGGACGCTGTTTTCCAGGCATCATCCTCTTGTCAATCGGGTCTCAACCCAAACGATTACAAGATGCCCAAAGGCCAACACACACACACACACATACAGCCGCACACCCATCTACTGGCTAACACACACACAACCATACACTGTTGCAAAGATTTATCTTACGAACTAAATGGAGGCAAACTGAACTCTGCGCCTCACTTGGTTACAGAATATATACAACATTCTGCTTAAGTGTTTTTTCAGCAGCATTACTTTGCTCTCACACAGATACTCGCACGTACATGTCCTTTCAGTACTGGTATGTGTGTGTGTGTGTTTGATGTGTGCGTGTGTGTGTGACTTGCCCTCGGGCCCATGAAACTTTTCAAGTGTTAACGAGTTTTGTTGCACACATGTGTCGATTGCATACGTAGTGCACTTAACTCGCAAACTTGAACGACATTTAAGCATTTTCCACAATCGTTGTTGCTACTCCTTTTATTGTTGTTGTTGCTTTTGCTGTTGTTGTTATTGTTGTTGTTGTCTTTGTTGTATCTGTCACTTAGCAACAAAAACTACAAAGAGATAGAAAAACGAAAAGAGTTCGGCAAGTGGCAAACTGATATGCCTGTTGTTGTTTGCCGGAGAGGGAAATTTGATTTTGTGCAAAAACAATTTGCATCTTAATTGTGTGCCACATGCCAAAGCTGGAAAAGCAGTTGGAAAAAGTAGGAAAACTGATAAACACTAACTACAGTATTGGTTGCAAATTTCTCTTTAATTACTGTTGATCACTTTCGTTCGACAGAGCAACCAACAAATAGTTTGCATTTTTGTTTATTGCAGCTTACTACAATTTCTTCGAGTTTATAATATTGGAATTTATGTCAATTCAAAATTTATACACATACATAAGTTGGCCTAGATTTTCTAGAATTCATGACCGCCTGGCTAGAAACACAAGATATAAATCTATCAATACATAAATTTACCTAAAATACTTGTGGGTGTTTGCTTGTTCTTGTGAATTATTTGTGTGCTGAGAAATTGGTTGACTGGTGGTACAAAAATTGTTTTATTTCTGTGGTTTCCAAATCTTTATAGTATTTACAAAGGAAAGTGTTATTTACTTTCAATATTTTACAAATTTATCAATTCCGGTGGCTTTAAGCTTAAATAATTTGTTATGTCTAAATGATATATTTTTTAAAGTTATAATGAAAACTGAGAAAATTAAGCCGGAAATCAAATCAAAATTATCTTCAATGAGAAATTTTTCTCCATTATGTGCCAGATATAACCAAAGAATTTCTTAAATGGTGAGCGCTCATTTTCTAGGAATACATTCCATCCATTACCCAGAAACCCGCAGCGTTTTTGGCAATTCAAATCGAGCTGCTCTACTCAACCACAGCCGAAAATATGTTCATTTTCTACATCTGCAGCCCATTTTCAGTTTCCATTGTCTGACAGGACCACGCCCACCGCCCACCACCCACACCCACAAAAACACTCATACGCCCCATAGGAGGCGTCGTTGTAACATCTCTTTTTCCATCTTTTCTTTCTGCGTGTGCGTTTTTCTTTTTTCTGCAGTTACAAATTATGCTCATATAAATTTTTATAAAACATTTCTGCCGTTGCCATTTTATTTTATGTTTCTTTTTGTTACAACTGCGTCTCACACCCAGCCCACACACACACACACACCCACATTCGCAGGCGTACAGATACAGTGCCTGGGAAAAGTAGGCAACGAACGCCTTTTCAGTTCAGCTCCTTTCAGCTTGCCCAGTTTTTCCATTGGGTCTGTCTGCTGCAAAAATGAAGAGCAATTCACACTTGAAAAGTTCCAACATGCGTTTTTAAGTTGCCCCAAACAACTATTATATGGATCCCTATCCCACCCTTTTGCCACTGGAGTGTGGTGTTTTTTTTTTTTGGGCCAGCTGAACCTCTGAATATTAAGCGAAATGTGTGGGAATATGACGCAGTTCTCGGGACCATAAAAAAGGGTTCGGTGGGCCTCTGGCCTGTTTATTTGCCTAAGCTGACTAATTTAATATGCATAAATGCCGGCACATGTTTCATAAATAGCATTTTAAAGCGGCACCCTAGCCGAAAATGGCTTCATTATCCGGCCCAACTCTGAACTAATGGTTCCCAGACCTACCCCAAAAAATAATGTATTGCCATTAGTGCTCTTCACTTTCTAAGTTTATGATTTGCATTTTGTAAATTGCGCATTTTCTGAAATTTGGATTGATTTTCGTATTTAAGGCTAAGGAATTCACTAAATAAAAATAATATGTAACTAAAATCCGATTGCGTTTAAGTGGAACACTAAGATTATTAATCCTAATCTCTAGAAAAACTTGAGCCACTTAAAATGCCAAAGAAATTCAACGCACACAAGAGGGACTTATGAAATGGCATTTTCTGATTTGCCTAAAATGTTTTTTCCGCAAAATATTTTTGGCATACAAGCCGCCGCTGATTGTGTGATGTGTACATGTGTACATACAACTTCCGGTTTGTGCAGTGGACGACAAATGTACTTCCGGTTGTGCAGCAGTTGCAAAAAAAACTGTTGCATGCTTTTGTGCGCAGCCAGAGATTTGCCAACAATGAACTCGAAATTAAATGTCATAATTAAACTGGCAGCCGCTATGCCAAATGGCAAATGGCAAAATGGCGAAAAAGCAACTGGGTAGTCGGAAAATTGTCAAAACGCTGGCGATAAGCCGCAGTCTGACAGTTAGACGCCGGCCAGACAACAGCTGCTTAAACTCTTTGCCACAATGTGTGCATTACCCATTCCGGCAGTCGGTGGAACCAAGGAATCTGGGAATCCGGGAATCCGGCAACCCGACGGCCATCAGTCCGCTCCTGAGACAATAGCATCCCCGGAGATCTCATCCCGACTTAGCCGCCAGCTTGTGGCTGTCATTTTTATCTTTGGCCCATTGTCACTCGCACAATGGAGCCAGAAATTTGTGTGCCTTCATTATCATTTCGGCTTCGTACGTACTCCTGGTCCTCAAAATGTGCTCCTTTAAATTGATTTGTCTTCTCGCCCAGCACGTAGCCTCCCCACCAGGCAATTTGCATTTTGTCGCGTTTGAATTGCGCGGCACGTTGTTGCCTATTTGAATTATGTCAATAGAATTGCGTCTTCAATAAATGTCAATAGGCAAGGCGATTGATGAAAGACGAAATTTACAGCACCGCCGCAAAGTAGGCAACAGTTTTTGTTTGTTTTTTATGGGAAATGATTGAAGTGTTGGAAAAATAAAAATAATGAATTTACTGACAACAGTCGGTATTTGGGGTTTTTCTTTTATGGAAAATAATAAAGAACATTGAAAATTAAAGCTCAATAAACTAAACCTCAGCATAACATTTATTTTCTATTAAAAATCAGACTTAAGCCTTGCTTAAAAACTAAATAGTCGGTATACGACATAAAAGTTGAGTTTGTGTTATTAAAAATAAGTAGTGAAGAGTTAAACCTTGATAATATATACGTGAAGTACTACTTTTCTTTTATGGAAAATAATTAGGAACATTGAAAATTAAACCTCAATAAATTAGACTTCAACATTTCTTTTATAAACTTAAACCTTGCTTAAAAACCAAATAGTCGGTATACGAAATAAAAGTTGAGCTTGTGTTATTAAAAATAACTACTGAAACCCAGTAATATTTTTTCTACAAGCAAAAAGAAAACAAAGCCATGCAGAAACAAGAAAAGAACACACAAAAGCTTATTGCACTGGTTTTCACATTAGTTAGCTCAGGAACTAAAGCTAAACAAAGCCATTGGAAAAAAAAACAAAGCCAGAGAATAAAGATTGATCAAAAGTGTGTGAAGGCGAAGGTAACAAAAATCACAAAGTGCCATGTAAGTGCACATCCATAAGCTGTTGTATGCAAACCAATTTTTACGTTGGATTTATTTTCTGTTTTGTTTTTGCACTGATGGTAAACGATTTCTCCGCTCAATGAATTCACAAGGAATTATTAATTGGTCTGAAAAATATTGTGGGAAACCAGCAAAAACTTAAAGCTATCTGAGCTGGGTTTTTAAATGCTTTTAGGTGTTCAGCGGGTCGGGTTTTAATGTCTTCATCTCTGACCGTCAAAATCCCCGTTCGGCATTCAACGTTTGGCCCTCATTGCCTGCTTAACGTTTAACTGCGCACTTTGACTACCCAAATGGGACCAGGATACCGGGGGTACCGACACGACAACATGTTTACAGCGCTCTACGGCGGAGTAGGAGTAATAAAACGAAATTATAAAATAATATTAACAATCCAGCAGCAGCATTTAGAGCCGGACACGGAGCCAACAAAGTGTGTAAAGTGTAGCCAGCTGAGTAAAATACAAAAAAAAAACAGGAAACAAAAATGGAATGGAATGGCATAGCCGTGGCATTTTACATTTATGGTTATGTGGGTGCGGCTACACATGTATATGCACTGCATACAAGCATATATGTCCAGCTTACGGGCTAAACTGCAACAAATGGGGTGTTAGGGGGGATTGGGGGGATTAGGAACTGCACACTGGTTGCACTAAAAGTGCACGTGTAATTAAGGTCAGCATCGTCGTCCAGCTAATTGGTGGAGCGGTAAAGCAAAGGGGCCTTGCAACTTTGTTGGTCATAACTAAATTTGTTTGTTTGCCTTGCCTAGGGGTCTATACTAAACCCCTTTACTTTGTTACCCGATATCCTGCTAGTCCATATCCCACATCCATGCCACAAAAAGCTTTTAATCCAGCCAGCTACTGGACAGCCAAAGTCGTAAAGCCTTATCATAATCTCCATGACTAGGGGGACGCATAAAGCCTATTCGACTGCGGAGAAAAATGGCAGGAGCTGCGCATAATCGGCTATATCCTTGTATAACTGAGAGAAATAGCCAATTTGAAGCTTGTTACTGTGGAATCATAACCTTGGAAATGCACGGTGAGTTTTTAGTCTAGTTGGTAATCAACTCTTATGTTTTCTAAATGGAAAAGTAACTGACCTAACAAGTTTTTAATCAAATCCTGGTTTTCTTTTATGCCATAAGCATATCTATTCTTACACATTTATAGGATATAATGCATTCTATTCGCCAAGTTTGGATCCACATTTTCAGCATAACTCTTGATGACATATATCTCACTTTGCCTTTCCACACATCCAAGTAAATTCTATTACAAAAATACCCACAGAAACATGGTATCTATTACTCACGAAAAGCCACAAGTTCGCACAAAAAAGGCAGGAACAACTTTTATAATAAAACGTGAACGTAGATTGCGCAAGCCGGAGATTTAATACCCTTGCAGTCATACCGAAAATAGCTTATAGCGCGCTCTCAAAAAATTCATTATTTTGGCTAAGAAATATGTTTATGTAGCCAAAACCCGAATAAATCGACTCTAGTTTCAGTATTTTGATCAAAGCTCTAGAAATCCTTGGATCCATAAAAATCCACTTTTATTTTGGTTTTTTGATCAAAACCCTGGGAAATAATGCTCTCATGTTGGAATGCCATACCTCGTTGAAATCGTTATAAAATTTCCAATCGATTGGCATTCACAGCTAAAAAATTTCATTTTGGTCGATTTTTCGCAAAAAAAGATAATGTAACCCCTTATGAAAAATGCTGAAATCCGGAGATCCAGAAAAATCCCCTTTTTTCTCGGTTTTTTGATCAAAACCCTGGGAAATAATGGTCACATGTTGGAATGCCATACCTCGCTGAATTGGTTATAAAATTTCCAATCGAGTGGCATTCACAGCTAAAAAATTTCATTTTGGTGGGTTTTTCGCCAAAAATGACAATGTAACCCCTTATGAAAAAAGCCGAAATCCGGAGATCCGGAAAAATGCACTTTTATTTCGGTTTTTTGATCAAAACCTTGGGAAATAATGGTCACATGTTGGAATGCCATACCTCATTGGATTCGTTATAAAATTTCCAATCGAGTGGCATTTACAGGTCAAAAATTTCACTTTGGTCGGTTTTTCGCCAGAAAAGACAATGTAACCCCTTATGAAAAATGAAGAAATCCGGAGATCCGGAAAATCAACTTTTATTTCTACTTTTTTTTTATAAAAAACCTTGGAAATAGTGATTAATATTTAATAAGTCATCAACATTTGTCAAAAATCATATCCAATCGATTATTTTGCAAAGTAAAACAAATTTATGTTTACTTTACAGGGTCGAAAATGTCTTTTTCACGATGTTGCAAACTTCTCACTAGAATTGTAATACCCTCCGCAAGGCTATAATTATTTGTTTGGGCACAAAAAAGAAAACTTTTCAGCCATACATTTCATTTGTGCGAAATGTCACTCAGGGGCATACTTTGGGCAGGACAACAGCGAGGACGATTGTTTGGCAAATTCTCAGCTACGTTTTAGACCTTCGAGTTCAGAGTACTAGGTTCTTTCAGGACCTCTCCTCCTTGTCAATGCCGTGCTCCACAATTAAACACTTGCTGGCAGACTAAACATTTGCATTTAAATAAAAATGCATTGGATTTTGTTGGCGCTTTTCATTAGCCATCGCTCTCTTTTGGCCCCCAGGATCCTGCTGTTTGTCTGTTTGTCTGCCTGGCGCCCAAAGTGACTTTCAATGTAAACGTCAGAGCTTTGTGCTGTTGACATTTGTGCGCCGCCAGACGACAACGTCACAACATCCTCCACGACGCAGACGACGGCAACAATTTGCGATAAACATCTCAGCGGCATGCAAATCCCTTTTAGGAATTGCACAGGAGAGCACTCCAACTAAAGAGCTGCGGGCGGAAAAGCGGGAGGAAAAACTAGGACGTCGGGGTGTGGCACTGCAATACAAGGACTTTGCCGGCAGCCAAGAATTAACCATCAAGCATTCCTGAAAGTCGCATTCAATGCGATCCTTTAACAGGATTAAGCTTTAGCTAAGATTAGTGGCAATGGGGAAACTCTTTATCGAATAAATTGAGTTGGCGATTCCATCATAATCAATTCTTCCTACTCTTCAAATAACGATTTCAGCCATTAATTCCACTATTCGTAACACCCCTTAAACTTTGGCTTTAATAACTGGGTAGTTATTAAAAAAGCCTACGATGAAACAATATTTGAAGATTTAGAAAATTATTTAATCTAAATAAACAATAAATCGCATCACATATCGATAAAAGTAAATTAAAGGCTGATGTAATTGGTGATGCCAGCGGATCCGTGCTTTATGAATTAACCCATAAACAAAGTATGAATGGTAATACATGCGAGTCACTTTGTATACGCATACTTTCACCGCAGATTTGGGGCATCTACTCGTTTTAGATCTAGATTTCCTTGGTTACTTTAGTGGTGCTTCCGACGCCAATAAGCCCAGACATCGCAGAGGTTGACCTTCTTCTCGCACTCGCACGGCGGGATGGGGTCGAGCAGGCCCACCTTGATGCACTCGGAGAAGCTGGGATACTGGGTGCGCCGCTTCTTGCAGCAGGAGGGGATTCGTCCGGCGTCGCAGGAGGGCGGATTCCTGGACTTGGGGCATCCAGGAGCGGGTATCTTGCAGCAGGGCCACTCCCCGATCCGGGGCACATCAATCAGCTTCTCGGGCTTCAGGCGACTCTTGTCCGGTGGATTCATGTCCTCGTCGCGGCACTCGAACACCTCGGTTGCCACGCAACGCAATGGCCTCCTCGGTCGATTTGGATACTTCTTCTTGGCCTGAACCGCCGCCTTGGGAATGAAGTAGCACTCGCACCAGGTGCGCTGGTACTTGCGCTTCGCCTTGTCACTCGGGGTGTAGTGCTCCAGGTCCATGGGCAGCTCCATGTCGGCACAGGGATCGTCCTGGCACTCGGGCTTGGGTAACATGAGGGGCGGCTGCTTGCAACCGCTTTCGGGGCACGGGGCTAAAAGGGCCTTCTGAAACTCCACCCGCTTCTTACGTATCGCGATCCTAATCTGCGTATCGTACATCCGCTTGATCGTTAGCGGAACCACTTTGTGTTGCATCAACAGTGAACGGTGAACGTTCTGCAACACCCCCATCCTAACTGAATTTAACTGGAATTTTGAACGGAAACCTAAAATGCGGGCAGAGGTGTTCCACGTGTTCACCACTCGAACTACAGCGTGCGACTGACCTGGATTCCAAGTTAAAGTCCGTACTACAGCTGGATGTTTGACTCAAGGCCTGCTTTGGAGTAAGCTCACAATATTGTCCTATATTGTTCAGAAGTGCACATTTCGAGTGTACTGGAAAATGTAAGACCTACTGAATATTGCTATAGCCTAATGGATAAACTAATATGGTCCTTCATTTGGCTATCAGTGGGATTCATTGCATTTACTTGAAAATTTTAAAATCTTTTCTTTATTCAAAAATCGAAGAAACCTCTTAATATACATACATAGGCAAATAAAAGATACCTTATTTTTGGGTATATAGATATAGTTCTTTTACTATAACCCCCATCCCATTAAAGCAACGCAAGTATTTTCTTTAAATGATCATATGGCCCAATTTATTTCATCAAAATTTCGAGACTCTCCAAAAGGGACTGGTGATTTGTCTGCCGGGAATAAATAATAAATAATCAAGAGAGGAAGAACAGGGGTAGTATCCATCTCTGTGGCCAGCGAATCCAAACAATTGCTCCGCCATCACGTTTCTACGATTCTAGGATTCGCAGGGGTCGCGCCTCTCGGGGGTTCGCAGGGAAGACGGCGATTCAGGAGACCGTAGCGGTAGACCAGGCAGAGCGGTGGCACCTCCAGGCAGAAGCACTCGACGGGTCTGCGGGTGTTGAGCTCCTCGTGCTGGCACTCTGAGAAGCTGGGATACTGGCACTGCCGGCGTCGACAACGACCCATCCGTAGGGGCTTCTTGCAACTGGTGGAGGGAAATGGGGGCGGGCAGTTGCAGAGCGAGAACTTGGGGCAGGGCCCCTCCTTCGCTTCCTGCTTGCACGGCATTGGGTTCACCATGAAGCACTGCTTCCTCTTGGGAATGGCGGCGCACTTGGTGTACTCCACCCGTTGGGTGCGCTCCGGCGGAACCTTGCGGCAGCAGCGCTTCTGTTTGCGGAAGAAGCACTCCACCCAGTACTGGTCGAAGTCGCGGTCCAGACTTTTACTGGGCTTGTAGTGCTTGTCGTCCAGCCGCTCGGCCAGGTCGCAGGGATCCATGCAGTAGGGCTCCGGTTTGTAGGGGATGTCGCATCGTCCGTAGACACCCAAGTACTTGGGATGCTGCACGGCCAGCTCCTTGTCCGTCTTGCAGGGATTGAGTTGCCTGTAGTAGCGCGGCTTCAGTGCCTCCACCGGAACACACTCGGGCTTCAAGGCGTTGGCGGCGACATACTTGACGCACTTCTTCGCCTTCTCCTCCTTGGTATGCTTGGGGCACTTCCTCTGCAACCCCTTGTCCGCATCCGAATGTTTATGACGTTGGTTGACCAGCGTCACGGCCGAAAAATGGCTCTTGATTAGCCCCTTTGCCTCATTCAGCAGCTGCGGACGGAGGCCTGTGGAACTTTTGGCCAGAAACATTACTAAACGGAGCCGGAACTCAGGCAGTTTGGGAGAAACGAAATTTAGGTTGTTCCAGGCGAACGTTCAACTTTGATCTGACCAAAAAGCTGGGCACTTCTCTTTAAGTCGATGGAAGCCTAAACCAAAGCCCCCTTGATGGGCTCTATTTTGTTTCACATTTCTGAGGCTGGTTTCTCTGCTGGAAATTGGATACGGATCTCATATGTAAGTGCATTTTTCGGAAGCTGTCGCGAATTGAACTCTTTTCGGGCCACGGACCAAATGGGTTTTCCTTGTTTATTCTGAAGTTAATTGCGAATGCATTCGATGCCAGCGTATTGCCCTGTTGTCTTGATTTGCCGGCGAACAATAATAAAGAAAAAATAGACATGCCAACCTTCACTTTTCGTATTTTTCCCAGCTTGTTTGCAAGTTAAATGCAAACAGAGCGCAGCCAGCCAAACGACAAAGCCCAGAATAAAAAAAAAAAGAGGAGAAAACCCACTCCCCTAAAAAAACAACAGAAATCCACTAGAATAAGTATACGCAGCGTTGGTCGCTGCTTGCTGTTCTCGGGGCACTTTTCGCTTTTACGCCGATATTTTCATTGGATTCGCAACGAGAAAGGCCATGCATGAGGACCCCCCATAAAATTGGGTCAATTGCTGTTAACAATTTGGCAGCGCAATCTTTTGGCCGTTTCGATTTCAAGGCGCTCAGGGAAAAAAACAAAAAGAGAAATAGGAAAAACAACGCGGCCCATAAAAAACGAGCACGTACGAGCGAACCTTTTGAAAAAAAAAACAATTTGCGCATAGAGTTGTTGGCCGGAAAAATAGCCGGTGCAATCGCAGCTGACCCACGGGAAAAGTGGAAAATCCGCTGGGGGGAAAACTCAAGTGCTTGGTCCAAAGTTCGCTGTTCAGGGGCCTGTGCACTAATTAATTAGTGCATTCTGTTTGTTATTCATTTTGCGAGAACATTACGAGCAGGGCTGGCTTAGTTCAACTTTGCTGGCGTTGTGTTTCATAAAGGATAACTTGACTGCCCCGAATTCAACAGCTGAGCTGGGGCATCACTTTCCATTTAATCAACTGGGGGAATAAAGTCGACCCCAATACTTCATCTTTTGTTGCCTTTGAGTGACTGCCAATAAAGTTGCCGCCTGCTTAAAGCTGAGATGCACTTTACCCCACTCTACTTTCAGGCAACTCAGACGACTTCGGAATGATTTCATTTACTTGCAATCAATGAAATTGCACTGATGCAATTTTGTTTTGGCCCGCCCCCCCAAAATAAACAGGCAAGCGGGTGGAATTGAGCTGGGATCGGGATGAAGCAGTTGGGGGATTCGCAAGGAGATGGCAAAAAGTAACAGTTGCAGGAAGGAAACTTCTGGGGCATGGAAGGCACCGGGGGTCACCAACTGTCTGTCACGCTTGCCTGGCAGACATGGCATCCATGGCAGCATTTGGTAGCCAGGAGCGGCTAATGTCTGGCGACAGTCCCCGAATCCCACGAAACCACCTCGTCGCTGGGGTTTCTCATATCGCAGCCAGACACGTAGCCAGCCACTGTGGATTGGGTTCGGGACACAGAGAGATTTGTGAAAGATGTCAGGAACACGCTGCGACAGAGTCGAAAAATGAGCAGGAATCGTAGGCGGAGGTGAGTGTGTCAGCCCCTCCCTGACTTCCCCTAAACAGAATCCCTTTCTTTTTCAGCTTGCCCTGCAGTACATCGCCTTCAGATGAAGAGCAGCCCGCCCAAGTCGAGCAAAATGGAAATGGCCAGACAAGTTTGAGATCCCGATCTCTGTCCAGCCAAGAGCTCTTGGTCCAAGCTTCGTCGGTCTTTGAAAATGAGGCACGGACACCGGCACCACAAGTGGTCGATGTGGCAGTCGGCACTGAATCAAGAACGGAAATCCTGGACTGGAGCACATCATCTCCGTCCCTCGATCAGGATCAGTGGAATGAAGAAGATCTATCTTCGTTTTACGAGGGTTCCAGTCTTCACGATTTACCCAAATTTTCCCTCCGAAATTATCCCCACATTTTGGTGGAGCCAACAAAAGGAGCGAAGGAAAGCGATACAGATCCCAAAAGTTCGCAGCCGAAAGAGAATCCCCCAACGTCTACTCCCATTGAGCCGATATCCGAAGTGCCCTTTGAAGAACCCATTTATGAGAAGGACCTTTCTCCTGCCAAAGAGCCCACGAAATTCACAAGACCCCACATCGATCGATTGTCTTCGGTGTCATCGGATGTTTCGCCCAGCAGCCTTCACCAGTCTTCCTTTGAGGACGACCCTTCTATGAAATTTGCCTCCATTAATGAGATCCTATCACTCCAGAGATCCACCAGCTCCTCAGATCTGTACTATAAGGAAGAACCACTGATCACAAAAACTCAAAAGTTCTATAAAAAAAGTAAGTAATCGAAAGAATCGATTTGAGCATTTGCAATATGATAAATATGTTCCCGAATTATTATTATTATTTATTATTTTATTTCTGCTTATATTTAATATATTTTAAGTTTTTCCTAATCTTCAAAAAAAATTATTTTCATTTATTATTAGATCCAATAGGCTAACACCTATTGTATATGCTAATAGTTTTGTAACATATTTATATGAATTTCTTCTTCTAGGAGCTCCCTTGGTCCCTCGATACGACTCGGAGGACTCATACGCCATAAACAAGGAATTTGTTCCACAGGACGTCATAGTGGAAACTCTCGGTGTGTCCGATACGGAATCGCCGGATTCGTTCAGCGAATACGATGCCGAAAAGCGGAAAAACAGTGATATGTGGGACACTGGGAGTAGGAGTATCGGTTCCAAGGAGTCCTTCACTTTGAGCCGTGCAGGAGGACGACTGGGCTCTGGTATGGTTTTTGTAAGTGAGTGGATAGCATCCCCATAATGGTAGGCCCCTGACCCACTTGTGCCACATCCAGATCTACATGGTGATACCACCAGACGGCGGTTTCGGCTGGGTGATCATGGTGCTGTCATTCCTGGCCCAGCTAATCATCGATGGCCTGATCTTCACCGTGGGCATCCTACTGCCATTTATGGCCAAGGATCTGGGCGTGGAGAGGACGGCGGTGCTGTTCGTGGCCAGTGTCCAGATTGGCTGCTACTTTACCAGTGGAGCATTCGCCGCGGTGCTAATAAATCGGTTTGGTTTCCGGAAGGCTGGCATCGCCGGGGTACTATGCTCCTCATCCGCCATTATGGCCTCCGGCTGGAGCGTGAACCTGGTTATGCTGATCTGCTTCTACAGCGTTCTTGGTAGGTTGACTTTGAGTGGTGATCCGCTAGAAGATGACTAAAAACCCAAGACACCCAGCGCAGGTGGCATGTCGTTGAGCCTGATCTGGGCGAGTTCGCAGCTGATCGTGGGCTACTATTTCGAGCGGTATCGTCCGATGGCCCACGGCTTCTGCTGCAGTGGCGGTGGCATTGGGATAGTGCTCTTTACTTTGCTCAACAGTTGGCTAGTGCCCATCATCGGGTGGAGGAACATGGTCCGGGTGCAGAGCGGACTGGTGCTATTGATCCTGCCAATGGTCATGTGCTTTGTGGAAGTGGCTCCCACCCAGGTGGGACTGTACCACCACCCGGATATCTTGGAGACCAGTTCGGATGAGTATTACGGCAACTTCTACGTGCACGACTACCTGCGTCTATCCACCCAGACCAATAAGAGTCGCAGTTTCATGAGCATGTATGAGCTGCCTCGCAAAAAGCGGCGATGCGCCAAGTTCTGTTCCTGCTGCACCGACTGCTGTGGAAAGAGGCACAAGAAGTCAATGCGCGAAGAGGAGCACAATCTGCTCATTCGTCCTGCACCCATGGAGCGGGATGATTTCTTCTACACAGGACCCGCCGAATACGAAAGGCCACACAGCAAGGAGCGACTGGAGGGCAAGGAGATCATCCTGATGGGATCCGATAAGAATGTAAGTCGGATCTGTTAAAAAAGGCATTTTAAAGGAACCACCCCCTCCCATTGCTTATCCATAGACCCAGCAGGTGAACTATGGTATTAAGAAAATTCACGTAGAAGAAACAAAACAATCCGACCATAGCAGTCACCACAGAATGCAGAGATGGGAAAAGGTGCCCCCAAAGAAACAAAATGCCAAGAGCTGGCGAAATAGCCGGGTTATGCTCACCCTGGTCAAGCTCTTCGACTATCATTTGATGAAAAACTTCGAGTTCCGGGTGCTGGTCGCTTCCGCTTTTCTGTATCCGATGGGCTTCAATATTCCCTACGTTTACTCGAGCGCACGCACCACAATTCCCCGTGAATATGCCCAGTTAATTGGCCCCATAATCGGAGCCACCAACTTTTTGATACGGAACATTTGTGGGTTTCTGGCTTTTAAGCGGAGTACGTGGACCACCTTCATCTGTGGCGGCGGCCTGGTTTTCGGCGGATCTTTCGTCTTCATTAGCGCCTTCTATGGTCAGGACTTGATTTGGTTCCAGTTTCTATACGGCATTTGCTACGGTGTGGCACCAGGTGGGTACATAAGTTTTTTTATCTTACCTTAAAAGGATTCTAATGACCTTGAAGTAATGTAAGCTTGCATCAGCGATACGGTTTTTATATATTTTAATAAATATGAAAATATCTTACCATATAAAACTGAAAAGGTTCCAACAAAGCCTTTTTCGCCACCTTTTCTAAATTATATTTAACCGCTTTGCTCATTTAATATAAGCAAAAGCTAGATATTTCCACAAAGAAAATAATAAATTAATCCTATTTATAAACACCCCTTATCTTATCTAATTTTAGCTGTATTTGCGACCTTGCGAGGACTAATTTATGTGAAGTATCTGGGCTTGTCCAAGCTGACCAACGCCTTTGGGATCACCTCCTTGGCCATGGGATTAGGTGTCTTTCTTGGCACCTCGGTGGCCGGAGAAATGGTGGGCAATACGGGGGACTACACTGCTGCCTTCTGCTTCGCCGGACTGTGCCTCATGGTGTCGGGAGTACTGAAACTAATGCTACCCGCGTTAGTGAAGTGCCACTACCGAAAAGCCCATTGAGGAATCGGATTGCTGGAATCGCGTTATTTATTGGTTGTCCTCCTTGGAACTTGGGATTTAATTTACAAAATGGCTTACGCTCTTCTTGTTTTCTCATTTAATACATACACAAGTGTTATTGACTACTTTACTGGTTATGTTTTGGTTGAATCCGTGTTCGAAATTCTGAATAAATGCGTTTATATTACACTTTTGTTTTTGGTAAGGGATTTTTCAAGAAGGCTGAATACAAATCATATTTCAGAAAGGTTGGTCTGAAATTTAAAGAATATTAAAATGCAATTTCCATTCCTCAGAGTTTTATTTTTGAGGAATTTGACTTCATAAAACCCTTGATATTTTTTACCACCACAAAATGACACTCTCGAACTCATTCGATTATAAAGTGTGCAAAATTTTGATTATGACTGACAAGCTGCGATTTAAAGTTATAGATTCTTTCGTTTCCAGAACTTTGCCTTTGTTAGTTAATTCGGGAGTTTTCCTTCAGGGGTTGACTTTTATTGCAATCCATTTAATGTTATTAGTTAGCTTAATTTACATCTAATATTAGCTTAGTTGCTGAACAACACACTTTGGCTCCATGCATATAGGTTCAAGTGTGTTGTGTTTGGTTTTTCATTTGGTTTTGTTTCCATTTTTCCTTGTTTGGGTATGCAAATGTTCACGCTTCTTTTTTACTTTGATTTGCTTTTAAACTTTGTACGTCTACTGTTCAATGTTTTTGTTTTTTTTTTTCCTTTTGTAATATTTTATGATGATTTTTTACATATTATTTAGAGCTAAAGCAACTAAAAGCGAAATATAAATCAATGTGAACACATAAACGTAAAAATGTTTCAATCCAATTATTTTTGTCCTCTGTCTAAATCTTCTTGATTTTTTTAATATTGTCAGTAGTCTTCCCCATTGTCACCTCTAATTTATTTCACTTTCCGTTGATGTCTCTGCATTTGCCGGTAGCATTAAAATCAATTTCGTATGATAATCTAAATTTAAATTAAAATCTCATTCCGGGATGATCCACACTCCTTATGGCCTTGCTGGTCTTTCTTGTTCACACAGAAAAAGCAATTCTTACGCCTTAAATTAAAATTATATTTATATCGCCTGAACCCTCCTCGACGTGGCTCGTTCATGTGTCGGAATCGGACCTGCAATCGAATTGTAAAAATACATATTTAAATTATATCATTGTTGTTGGGTGAGTCATAATGTACAGAGAAAGAAAAGTTTGTTGTGGGTGTAGCAAAACTAGTTGATAACCTCCGAAATTAAGTCAGAAATCAAAACAAAGGAACTAATTGTGAAATTCAAAATTAAAATATTATATAGGTACTAAAAGATTTTTTGATTGTTTAATGGTTTTGTTTTTAAATTTCAGTATACTTTTGTGAGCTTTTTAATTAAATTTTTTTCTGGATTGATTGGTTATAATTTCTCCAAGTGAAATGTGCCCCAAACTTACCAATTAAAATAGGTCTGTGACCCGTGACAATTGCGCTCGGAGCCGCACCACTTGGATTGCTGGAGCGCCGGGCAGGGCCGTCCGCCCCTTTTGCCGTGCTTAATGACCTTGCGGTAGCGGTGCATCTCGCCGATGCCGCAGCTCTTGCTGCAGGCCGTCCACTCGGACCAGTGGCTTACGCGGCAGTCGCGACGCCGCTGCGCCGAGCTCCGCCTGCGGGTTGCACCACCCACCCCAGCGCCACCCACACCCACACCCCCGACACCAGGGGACTTGCCACCCGCGGGGAGTGACTGCGGGGCCGTCGGGTTGGAGCCGTTTAAATTGCTGGCATCTGTGGAACGCCGATAGCTGCTGGCGATGCTCTGCAGGATCGCATGCTTGTCGTTCTTCGGCACCACGCTGACCACCTGACCAGGTGACGGCTGCAGGCTATTGTTGTTGCTGTAGCTGCAAGTGGATAAGGTCAACGTTTCATTGAGTTCGGTTCACGGAGCTTGGGCTTATAAAATGGTATGTCCTGAAGGTGATTTTAATCTACCTGGTTAGTTGGTTAATTAAATCACTGTTTTAAAGAAATTTATTTAATAAAAATCCCTTGATTATATGGTTTATGACGCTTTGAGATTATTATAAACATCATTTTGGGTAGATAATGTAATTTAAATTCCTATGAACTACATAGATATTATATCAATATACATATTTATCAAAAATAAAATGTACCTTTGGTTGTTATACAATTTAAATTTAAAGAAATTAGAAAATACTTATATACTCTTGAATTTCATTTTCTCTAAATGTTTCTTAAAAACATACCACACTTATTTGAATTACAATTTTTTAATCTCCACAAATGGTTCTATTTGCGGAGCGTAGACTTTATAAGCTAAGACCCAACCTGACATTCCCTGCTTTACTGATTTGCCTTAGTAGCTTTACTTGCCGACGCTAAAAGACTGCCACATTACACATACGACCCGTGTGCCCCCCATCTCCACCTACGTTTCGCCAAAAAGGTGTGCACGTTGCCTGCTCACGTTTGTTATTTCAGCACATCAACTGTGGAAAATTTCAATTTAAATTTGCCTTTTGCCAGCCTTCGTGCCGTGTTGCTGGCTGACAGACACAGAGCCCAAAAGGCCCAGCTCCCGATACCCGGAGTACCCGGAATTCAGGACTTTTGGCGGACCCACGCGCGAACCACAATCCCCCCAAAAAAAAACCCCTCCCCCCCAGAACTTCGCGGATCCACGACGTTTGGCTGTGGCGCTGCCTGGCTTCCTTCCTTCCTGCCTTCCTTCCTGGGCAACTTCCGTGTTTTGTTTCCTGCAGTTTTTCGTTTATTTGCATACACATGCCGCGCGTATGCCGCGTGCAAAATCGCGCAAATAATAATAAAAAATCAAAAGGCAGACGAACAGGCACAGCACAACTGACGAGCAACCCGGAGGAGGAAAAGCGCAAATAAATTGGCAAAAATATTGAAAGACCCAAGAGAAGGCGCCGAGCGCCATGGGCCCAACGAAAATAATGAGGAAAATTCCCAAATTGAAATTACATACAACATTTCAGCTTCTCTCCCTTCTCAAATACCTTTCCCTTCTTTGCACGAAGTTTCTGCCGAGTTCTTCTTCCTGGGAACATGGAAGTTATTAGCGACAATTTGCTTCGATCATGTTCACGGCAATTACTGTTAGATGAGCACATCAAAATGTATTAAGTAAATGTTGTTTCAGGAGCAATTTGCATTTCCACAGCTCAGGAAAATGGCTGTGACTCAGCTATCGGACATGTGACGGGAAAATTGCTCATCAGGCCGAAGCGAATTGGTTTTCCAAATTGAAAAGCGAAAGCCATTTGGTATTAATTTAAAAACTCGGTTTGCCCATACTGCATAATTGACGTGACAATTGTCAGGCCTGAATACAATGATTATAAAATTTGACATGGCGAAAACATCAGGGGAACAAGTAATTATTTTAATGCAGTCAGTGGAAACATACAATTATGGTTGGCAAATTGGTTTATTACTACTTTTATACGCCAAATTTAAGGCAGAAAATTCATTTGGTAAAATAAACATGTTACGCCTGTTTTAGGTTACCAAAATGAAGTAAATTTAATTTGAAAACCGAGTTCACCTTTTCTATGAATAAACTATTTTATTTTAATAATTTAAGGCGTACAAACGTAGTTAATAAATCTATATAGTTAGATGCACAGTTTTTGGTTTCCTATTTTTCAGATCTGAATTCGCCATCAGAGAATCGTGCAGCAGAGGACCTCTCCCTGGGGTTGGGCATATACAGTGGCCACTGGCGCTTGACCACCCACCACAACGGTGGGTCGTGGCGGTGGCATCATGACCACAGGCGGTGGCGGTGGTGCTCCAATGATCACAGCTGGTGGCGGCGGTGGTGCAATCACCACTGGTGGCGGTGCAAACCCAATGCCCACGCCCACGCCCATGGGCGGTGGACGTGGTGGTCCGCCGATATTGATGCCGACATTTACACGAGGGGGCGGTGGTCCGTAGGCGATTCCGGGTCCCCTGGGAGGCGGTCCTCCGTATCCACGTCCTGGCGGTGGCATCTCGACCGATGGCTAAAAACTGACTGACCAGCACCTTCGGGTCGATTGGCTTCTTGAGTTCTTCGTTCTTATCTCCACTTTTGCCTCGAGTGTCCGCTGGTAATTAACTATCAATTACTGTGATTTTTTTTTGGGTGGCTTCTGTTTCCGCTGATTAGATATGCGATAGGCGGAGCTTACATTCCCAGGCTGATAAGAGAAACACCCGATTATTGATAAGATGATGTTTTATATTACGATATGATATGCATGGGCTCTGATTCACGGCCCCTTCACTTGCCTTGGGGAAAGCCCCTGACCTCCGATTTAGGAAATGACGCATTTGCAGTGGCAGCATTTTCGTTTCGGTGGTTCTGCTGCAATATCTCGTTTTTGGATTGGTGGTGGTTCATTCGTTTCCTGTATTCCCTGCTCCTGTTGCTGTTCTTGAGTCAAAGCTGCACTGAGGGAATACCGCTTGCCAAACTTGTCGTTACTTTGCTCGGAAACGACACCCACTAAAACAGTTCCAATGGGTGTGGCAGGTTCTATAACTTCCTCGGTTACTTCTATGACCTCAGTCACTTGCCCATTATTTGAGGACTCCACAACCACCTCTCTTTCCACCACTTCTACAAACTGAGGATCGTCTATAACCAGATCAGTTAGAATGAAACTATTAAGTGGTTTCACTTGTGGCTTGGGAGGAGGTGAGGGAACTGGTGTAACATTCACAGACTCTACAATCACCTCCGTTTGTGCCAGATTCGATGGTGGTATTCTGAGTTTCAGAGGTGGACTGGGTGGAGGTGTGGGAGTGGGAGTAACCTCCAGGGAAGCCACAATAACCGCCGTTTCCGCTAAGCTTGGCCTGGGAACGAAACCCACTTCAATAGGGCCTTGAATTGATAGACTCCTTGGTGGTGTATTAACGGGTGTAACGTCAATAATCTCCACATAAGCCTCGTCTTCGCTAAATCTATCCACTTCCACTGTGGGACTGTGTGGAGCGGTATTGTAAGGGGTGACTTCCTCAACCGTCACATAGTCATCAACTTCGATTAGACTTTCTCTGGAAATAAAAGGAAACTGTTCGGGGGGAGGCGATGATGTTGGCGTTACTTCCAGGGACTCCACAACCAGCTCTTGAACCAAACTTGCGCGTGGCATATAATTAGTTGTCACTATTGATCGAAGTGGAGGGTCGGGAGTGACTTCTATCTCTTCCACAATTGATTCCACGACGCCTGTTTGAGGCGCATAACCATTTTGAAAAACTGGCTGTGACGGTTGCGTGATTTCAATGTCCTCCACAATATTTTCAACATAACCTGTTTGCGGAAATATGTCCATTGGCTCTGGGGATTGATAGGGTGGACTATATTCTGTGACTTCTATGTTCTCCACAATCGATTCTACAAAACCTGAGCGAGGAGGGAAACCAATTGGGAGTGGTGGCCTTATTGGAGTTTCAACTTCTTCCGTGACTTCTTCCGTGACTTCTATATTTTCCACTATTGAATTTACAAAACCCGATCGACGAGGAAAACTCATTTGTATTGGGGATTGCACAGGAGAATCCACTTCTTCTTTGACTTCTATGTTTTCCACAATCGATTCTACTAAGCCTGTTTGCGGGATCAGGCCAATTGGCACTGGAGGTTGGGGAGGATTAACTTCTTCAGTGACTTCTATACTCTCAACAATAGACTCCACGAATCCAGATCTAGGTAGATAACCACTCTGCGCTGGTGGTCGCAATGGAGGATCCACTTCTGTAGTGATTTCCATATTTTCTACAATGGATTCCACATTGCCAGGCTGGGGAGTAAACTCTTTTTGAGCGGGAAGCAGGAAAGGAGGATCATCTTCTTTTATGACCTCTATGTTTTCCACTATACTTTCTACAAAGCCTCCAGGAACAGAATTTTGTACTGGAATTGGTAAAACAGGTTCGGGTGGTATTACTTCTATATTTTCAACAATTGATTCCACGCAGACTGGCTCAGAATCAAAGCCATTAGCTGGAAGGAGAAATGGAGAGTCGTCGACTTCTGTCGAGACTTCGATGTTCTCCACAATCGACTCCTCAGCATCAAAACCACCGGGTGGAAGAAGAAAGGGGGAATCCGCTTCAATATTTTCCACAACTGATTCCACTACCACATCTCCAGGAACGTTGCCAATTTGTACAATATTCTGCACAGGAGGATCTACTTTTATAACTTCTATGTCCTCCACAGTAGTCTCTACTAATCCTGATCGAGGATAATAGCCTTTTGGAGCTGGGGCCTGTGTAGAAATGGATGCTACGGCTCCTTCTATATTCCCCACAATCCTAGCCACAAAACCTGGTTGAGGAATAAACTCCGGTTCCTGTTGAATCTGTGCAGAAAAGTCAACTTGCACATTCTCCACAATAGTTTCCGGTGGATTAATATTCATTCTGGGAATATAACCTGTTGGGGGCAGTGAAGGTTCCACTGATTCCACAAAAACATCTGTTTGAACCACTTCTGCGATGGGAGAAAGAGGAGGCTGCTGAGCTCCCGGGAAGAATCCTGTCTGCACTTGAAGCTGTGGAGGTGCATAGGGTGGAGGATCCAATTGTTCAATTATGATTTCCTCTTCCACCACCCTAGTGTGGTTTTGGGTTTGCTTAAACGTTTCCTTTGTCTCCGTTTGCCAAACCACGGTGGTGAATTCATCTGAAGCAGATGTAGTGTCCAATATCTCCTCTGTGTCCACAACATCCCTCTCGGGTGAGAGATCAAGATCCGTGGAGGGATTGGGTGAGGGCTGGTTCCAAAAGGCCTGGGGTTCCCAAACCACATTGAAACCCACCTCCTCGGTGGGTGTGAGGAATGGCGGTGAGGTCTCTGGCAAAGGTGGAGGTGGCGAAGTCTTTTGCTTGTGGTGGTGATGGTGCTTTCGGGGCTTTGCTCCATTCTCCACCAGAATCACTTCCTCTCGCTCCACAACTTCCACATTCTCCTGTCTTTCCTGATGATGATGGTGATGCCTGTGATGGTGATGATGATGGCGTTGCTTCGGTGCCGGAGAACCCTCGATGTTGACTATCTCGATGGTCTCCTGGATTGTGCCACTGCTCGTGGCTATCGTTTCTATCGTTTCATTAACACTTCTCTCCTCCACAATGGTCGTTTTCATTTTGTCGCTGATTATTCCGTCTCGTTTTCGTTGTGCCCATTAACTGAAACCCCAAACGCTTTGTTCGGCCCATTTATACACGGTGTTTATGTCATGGGAAATGTATTTTCATGCGTTAAATCCTTGTACAGATAAGATAGTTACTATATCTAAGCAATGTGGCAACTATTTGTCTTCGACCCCGCCGTCTGTGTATCGGTCTCTGGAAATTGTTAAGGCTTATGTTTGATCGAATTTTTGACTGTGATTTCCGCATGCTTACTAGTGGCACTCTTCTGTTGATTTTGATTCTGATTCTTGCGTCGCTGATTGTGGGCTGCACTGCCAGCGATTACCGTAAAGGTGGCTGGTGGGATTCCGGACATGTTGCTGGCACTTAACTCTTTGCCCGATTGCCGGCAATTCTTCTACTTTTATAGGCCACCCGCGACAGGGCATTCGATAAGATAGTAATTACTTCGAAACTGGCCCCGAGTACTCCGCACATTTGGCAGCCGTATCTGGTATCTGGGGTCCCCGGCCTTTGTCTTCGACCCTGTCACAGTGCCAGGAAAATGGCGAATCGACAACGCCCACTCCTCGCAGGCCCTTGGCACTCGAACACGTCCCGGACTGGTGGGGATTGTCATTAAATATGCAGGTTACCAGTGCCAATGGTGCCAAAATCCACTCCAGCAGCTTCGGCTTTGGCCAAAAGTGGCACGAAAATAGACAACTAGCCGAGGAAAGGGGATGCGGATGTGGATGTGGGACTGGAACTGTTAGCAGGGATTAGTTGTAGTTTGGCCCCGTCGTCCGGAGTTTCGGGGATCTAAGGAATAGGGCGGCTTTTTAAAGATGCAGCATTACCCAGGTACGTGCCAGTCGGGCCACTCTCCTTTGGCTCTTTAGTTTCCTTAGCTCTGCCCCATCCGACGCCTCCAAAGTGGTGTAATGTGCTTTGAAGTGTGCCAGAAAGCTGTTTTCCTTCCACCCACTCGCTTGTTTTTCCAACAGCTCCGGGCTTGGCACGTTGCTTTAAATATGTGAATGCATATGTACACACGGAGTGTTGAAAGTAGTTGGTCTTGAGTTAGGGGGAAAGCACTTTACGCATATGTTAAATAGGGCCAATTGAAGCGCTTTCTGCACTCCAAAACAGATTACGTATACGAAATGTGGCATTTAAAGCTTACTCTTGGCCTAAAACTGTTGGAGCCGTTAGCTGTGACATTAATGAAAACGGTTTCAACCTCTTGGGTATAAACAGCCAACCAAAGGTTGCTGATATCCGAACTCAGCCATATCTATTGATAAATCATTTGTTTTTGTCAATCGATAATTATAAGATAACCTTTTTTTTTACGTTTTGTTTATAGTTCACTTAACGCGTTGTCACTGTCATTTTTTACCCAATTTCAAAGCTTAAAATTCGACCTAGAGCTTCCGCCACCTTGAACTATTCACGTTATAAACTTACAAATAGTAAACGTTTATTGAACAAGATTTAAGATGTCCGATAAAACGTTATCAATAATCTTTCCTACGATTAATTAGAAAAAACCAATAGAAATCAGGTTGTCATTAGGCCAAGTAGGAAAAATATAGCATGAGTAAGTGATATCTTATCTTATAAGCAAAATCATCCATTTCATTGTAAAAATATAATTTAATTTATTTTAATTAAATTGCAACTTTTCCCCAAATAAGTGTGTCCTTTTATTGTATTAAAAATATTATAAACCTTCAATTATAAACTATGAAACTAATTCTGAATCCAGATGAATACTCGAATGTTGTATAAAGCCAATTGCAATTACCAAAAAAAGTTCCCTTACCAAATGAAAGCTTAGTTTGTTGGCTTTTAGTTGTGCTATCTTCGTAGGTATACCACCCCCTCCCCCCTCCACCTATTAAAAGTTTCTCTTTGCTAAATTACATTTCTACAACGTTGTGTTCATTTTCATTTGATTTTTCTACTTTTTTTCTAGTTTAGCTTATGGCACATTTGCAGCACTTACTTGGGATTCATTTTGGCCAACAACTGGGACCGGATTCGCTGCCTCTCGTCGTCGAATTGTTGCAACTGTTGCTGCTCCGTCTGTCGCTCCCGTTCGATGCTGGCGGACAGCTCGTTGTTCATCTCCACGTGGTTGTGCTCCGCATCCAGGTGGGTTTGGGTCTGGACCGTCTCGTACTTGCGATCGTCCTCGGCAATGTTGAACACCTCGCTCAGCTCGTACTCCTTCAGCTGAAAATAGGGAGTGGAGTGGGTTCGGAATGTTAGTCCCCGGGTCCAGACACATGTGCAGCATATTAATTTACGGGGATTATGTGCCCGGCATCAGCAACACTGTATGCTGTGTACAGGATGTGGAATGCCGAGCAGGGGGACACGGCACCCAAGGACCGGGAGTACAGGTGCTCTTAACGCGCTGCTAATTTCAATTTGTGGCAAATATTGACACAGCCACAGGGAGCAGCAGCGGTATGGAATGGCCACGAATCCCCATGGAATGAGAGGGTACCAAGCGAAAGTATTGATTTGGCTTAGACTTCACGTATCTCGCAGCAAATATTTGCTATAAATCATACATGCTATGAGCTGATCAGCGCACAGATATAAATTTAATTGAATGCCAAAATAGATAGATTGACTTTGAATCGATAGGAATGGTCGGGTTCGATCTAAAAACATTTAATCTTTCTTATAACAAAGTAAAGCAATGGTTTAAGTGTGCAAAAAGAGTAATAATACTGTTAGAAAGTAATGGAACTGACGTTTAAATAAACAATTCTCGGAAAAAAACCTATAGGGACAGCATATAAATAGAATACATATTTAATAAAACTTTCCGCCTTATCACCACCTCCTACCCAACAAATCCTCCACGGGAGTATACCCAACTTTTCAAAGACATGTCGAGGGTATGAAAAACTTTGTTTGGTGCGCTGTCGCGCATTTTAATTTATTTGTTTGGGCCGCTGTCATTTTCTATACACAATACGCATTGTTATTGTTGTCCCCTTCGCTTTTGGCTGGCTTATCTTGGTCTACCTTTTGGTACCTACATTCTGCAAATGCGTCGACAGCGGCGCCAACAACCACAACGAAAACAGCAAACCTTAGGCACTAAAAATACAAACAAAAAAAAAGTCCAGAAAAAAAAGAAAACAATGCAGAAGAGCCGCGTGTTGCTTTTGTGGCATTAAAATACACAATAATCCAGCGCACACACACAAAAAAAAAAGCTAGAGCGCGGAAGGGGGTGGGGGGGCTGGAAAAACTGTGAAATTCCTTGTGGATTACCCAGACGGCGAGCGAAACCCTCAGCATTCCTGGCTGCCGAGATTACGTGCCTTTTGCCATTCACTAAATGACACACAAATATTCCAGCAATTCGGTCTCGGCCCCAGAATTTAAGAATTTAATGACCAACTACATCCAGCTGTTGGGGCAATTCTAAGGAAGCAAATCAACACATAATTACACTACGAACTGAGACATGTGCTGGCCATAAAATAACGCATATAAGTAAATAACTTTCCATTCTGTTGGCCATAAACAAAAGTCGACAGCCTTGGGTGTTTTGCACAAAAACGAAATGGCAGAGTTTTAGTTTCACAAATGCGAACTTTGATTGCCCTTGGCAAGTAGTTTTACAGAAAGCTTATAAGAATCAAACACGGTCGACTGACCAGTCAAAAATAAACACCAAATTAGTTGATTTAATTTAATTTTGCCCAAGCCCTAATTGGATTTTATAATTGATTCATGAAAATGCATAAAAGTTATTTGCTATGGAAGTTAAATTTAAAATGGGATACATAGAAGTACATATATTAAAGTTTAACTTAAAGAGTTCTATTAAATTAATTTATGTTTTCAAAATAATACCTTATTTCTTAAAATCAAAAGCCAACTATTTATTGATAAAGCAAACTTTTATATATTCATTCAAAATTCGTTGCTAAGGGAAATCAAATTTTAACAAAAATACATGTAAATATATGTTAAGCCCAAAGTGACATAATTATCTCTTGATAATAACATTGCTTTGCCAGATTCTATGGCCCACTATTTATTGATAAGCCAAAGGCCACCAGGCAGCCAAAATACCCGACCAAAAACGCCCACAAACGCAGTAGACGCTCTCACACGCCCACTCCGAAAAGCCTAGAAAATAAAACTAAAATTAGTAGTGTCAAAAAGGCGTTACAATAATACGAGCTGCAGCAACAAACGGCACAGAGCACAGAGCACCACCAACAAATAAAGAATAATGACCGCACGTACAGTGGGCAGACACGCCCACACGGACAACCGCCCACCCGCCCATGTCCACGTAGCAATTCCCCGTTCTATATATAAACTGCCCCTATGAAATAAACTATGCAAACGTAGTCGAAACATCTGGCGATGGGTAAAGAGGGGGGTGGACGGGGGAAATGGACGTTGAGCCCGAGGCATAAATTTTATGTGCGCTTCCTTCGGCCACACATAAAAGCAATTTTGATGAGCGACCCAAGGCATTGTAGCCGTAAGTGCGCCACTTTCTGGATGTCTTGGATGTCCAGCAATATAATTACAATGCTCGAATTCCAACCGTCCTGCTCCGTCTTCCTCAGTGTTTATCCTTATCCTTATCCCCATCCCGCTCTATTGGGGCGTTTTTACTGCCGTTGAGGGTTCTTTGTTGCACTGCCCGACGGTGGAGGTCCTGCCTTTGTCCTTTGTGTCTGGCAGGCCTAATGGATTGGCATTTATTAAGGAGTGCAGAATAATGTTTATTGCAGCGCTTGAAAACAATGGCAAAAACGCTTGTGCCTCTATAAGGATAATGCAGGACATGTTTCAGCGTGCTAAGTGAAATTATACGCAATACGCATGATAAGCTTTAACTAGTAATATGGGAATTAAATCAGTTGGCATTAATTTCTCTTATGTTAAGTCGCAGCTTATGTCGAATATTCCTTTAAAAGATTATTAATGTAATTTTAATGTTTATATACATTTTAAATCTTTTTAAATTTTAAAGAAAGTATAACTATATCTATCAATGCTCGAAATGTTTATTACAAATTGCATTTTCATAAGAGTAATATTTTATCCTAAACTAAAATCTATTGCATCCCCAAATAGGTAAATAAATAAATATCTTCAGACTCATTCAAATTTTCAGGTTGCAAATATATTTATTAAATGCATTTTAGAACTTCCTACTAATTTCAATAATAAATTTCAGCTAATATCGTCATTAATTTTTGGATAATTCAATAACTTCCTATTGGATGCAAATTGGCCAAAGTCGATTATGAAATGCATATAAAAACGATATTAAATTGCAAATAATTATCATAACTGAATTTTCTAATGTCATAATGCCATTTTCAAAGGAATTAATAATGTCATTGAATTTGAGGCAATTTCCATAGCAGTCATTTTTAATTCCATAAATTATAATTCAATAACAATTTGCAATAGTTTTACATACAATAATAAAAG